TTCCTCCTGCTCCTCCTCGTCGTCGTTGCTGTCCTCTCCTTGTTCTCACGCCCGCAGCCTCCTTTGCTGCTCCCTCCTCCTGTCCTCCTTCGCCGCTCGTTGTCGGCGTGGTTCATCGCCCTCATGGTCAGGTCCCTCAGCAATGATGCCGAACAGTCCATGAGGATGAGATCACTCAGCTGGCCCCGTCCTCTCTCAAAATTAGATTAATAGGGTCAGGAAATCAATCGGAAGAGAAGAGGCAGGAGAGAGGGAGACTTATGAACTGCACATAGCCCAGTTCTAGCCTTATCAGAGGATGCCCCTGCACTGGGTAGATGAAGTCGAGGATGGCGCCCGTGTCACCCCGCGAGGGCTCCATCGCCTCCTTAATGCGTTACGCAATCTCAGAGTTGGGGAGCGCCTCCTCGGCGAGCGTTGTTCCCTTGAGCGACGTGCCCGACGCCATCAGGTGTAGCGGGAGCGCGTGCGCCATCAATGGAGCCACCCTCCTCGTGTGGTACGCCCCGATGATGCCGGACCCCTTCAGGCCGCACTCCCTTAGGATCCTAATGGCAGCGATGTGATCCTAAATCTTTTTCTTATGCTTCTCCAGAACGCCCCACTTCCGCCATGGATCCGGGGTCTCTTCAATCAGGCGCCCGGAGAACTCTGGCAAAGGGGCGGCAGCATCGTTCTTTAAGTAGAACCACTGCGAGTGTCACCCCTTGCTCGACGTCAATAGCGGCATGGATGGGTACTATCCGGCCTGATTGTTCCGGAGTTGGATGTTGGTGCACCACATCGACATGTGCAGCTCCGACCGGCCCCTCTCCCTCTTCTTCTGGAGGTTGACGGCAAAGAAGTGCCTCCATAGATCGAAGTAGGGACTGATCCCCAAGAATCCTTCACACAACAGGATGAAAGCCGCCATGTGTTGGATCCCATTAGGATTGAGGAGCTGTAGCTCAATGTTGTAGTAGGAACACAGCACCTAGAGGAATCGATGGGCGGGGGTTGCGGGCCCGCGCTCATGGAAGTGCGCAAACGACACGATGTAGCCGTCCGGTGGTGACTGCGAATCCTCGTTGCGGGGCAACACACACTCTTTGGTTGTGGCCCATGCACAGAGAAGACCGTGACAGACGAGGCCCTCCATGCGTTGGAAGGTGATGTCGGAGCGGCACCATGGATCCATTGAAGGTGGGGTAGATGGACACGAGCTCGACGACGGCAAGGATGCGGAAGCAGGAAACCCTAGCACAGGCAGCGGCGGTGGAGCTACGAGGGTAAGGATGCAGGAGTGCATATGAATCATGGAGGGCTAACCTTTGGTGTTATAGGGGGCGACGAAGGCGAGGAACCAACCATCCACGTAGATCCCCGCGCCCGCCTTGTCCTGCCACCACGTTTGATCGCAGGGCGTGCGCACGCGACCTCTGGCGGTCCCCTCGAAAAACACGTCAGATTTTTCACCTTCCCAAATAGACTGCGACCCGTCACATGTAAGTGGGATACGGAGCTGAAAACGCTCCTACGGCCCATCTAGGCCCAAGAGTTCGAAGGTTGGCCCACTAACGGGTTCAACAACCGCTCTAGGGCACCTTTAGAGTGAGGGGTGGAAAAGGATAGGCCCGCTAGTGGCCAGTACCTGGGCGCACGAGTGCCACGGGCATCCCGGCCCACGTACGAGTCTCAGTCGGTGTATAATCCATGGTTTTTCCTCGAAGAAAGGCAGAGAGCCCTTGGGACCGGTCGAACGGACCCGAGAACTATATGGATTGGCCACTGAGAATCTAGAGTCGGTCACCAGCTGACACAAGCCAGATCCCCACGAACGGGAAGCTAGGCCCCCATTCAAACTAGCCCGTTAATAGCTCACCGAGCACCATATTTCATCCATCGAGGAAAAACGTGGCATGGCTCAGCCCCTCCGTTTTATCAAAAAACACTTGAGGGATGTCGATAACAAGATGAGTTGACCCCTCGATTGGACCCCCACTATGCACGGGGGCTCAGCCTCGCAAAGAGGCCCTATGCGTGGTCGCATACGAACCTTAAGTCAGTCACTAGGGGAAACCACGCTTGTTGCAACGAGCATGGGCACCTGCTGGAGTCCATCCATGCGAGAAAGCCTACAAAGGAGTATCCAACTCCTCCGCAGGCTCAGGGCTACTGTCCGGTACCAATACTAGGGTACCCGAAGGCGAGGAACTAACGGTCATAAGCACTGATTCACCCGAGCAATCAAGTGCGTGACTATAGCTCCAACCGTCCCCTAGGTGCGTAGGTTCTGCCTCGCCCGACAGCTGAGGGGCGGTTCCCGCCTCGGCCAACCCTTGGGCATGGGCTATGCCTTGTCCAACCACCGGAGTGCGGGCTCCCCCTCGCCCAACCGCTGTGCTATAGGCCCTGCCTCACACGACCACTGGGGTACGGGCTCCGCCTTTCCCGACCACCAGGGGGCGGGCTCCACCTTGCCCAACCTCTGGGTCAGGGGCTCCGCCTCGCCCGACCCATTAGGCGCGGCTCCCGTCTCTCCCGACGGAAGCCCGTATCACCGCCAACCACTACGGGTTAGAAGGTACAACCCAAGGTCAAACTTCTAGCACCGGGCAGGGAGCAGGCACGTCTCGACGTGACCCATGGCCACGACATGTCACTTCCGGGGATTCACATCGCCAATAGTAACGGATGCATGGTCACTGTGCTACCTACTCCCCGTACGGCCACTGACCGGTACGTCGGTTCGTCGCGTCGTCCGTCGGGACGGGATGGGACGCCACGACCAGCTGATAATTGTAAGTGCAATCAAACCCTATTGTGGGGTTTGGCATTGATGGCCACCAAATTAGAGGACTAATGAGATTTATCGAGATGACAAGCGGGGAATCGAAAAATGAGGATGATGTACAGGTTGCAAGTGTCCTAATTACAAAAGGTGGTAAGACCTAGCTCAAAAGGAGGTTTAAATTCTTTTATATTTTGAAATTGAGTTTAGGGAAAGCTATACTATTAAGAGGGATTTTAGGACAGTTGGTCAACTGTTGAACCAGATGCTCAAATTCTCAGATTTACATCCTCTCACCTAGTCAAAACAGCCAGCCAAAATTCACCTCACCTTACCTGTTTTGGCTAGGGCGACAGTGCCGCCCTGTTAAGAGCGGCAGTGCCGCCCTTAACTGGCCGTTGGACCCAAGGGGTATTTATACCCTTTAGGCCTAGCCCACAACGGTCATCTTCTTCACTCAGACATTCTGCTCAAAACAGAACAAAACCATAGCTTACCCTCTCTCCTCCATTGTTGCTCCTCCATCCCTCAAGCGAATCCTTGATTCCAACCATCAAAACTTGAGAGAAAAGGCAGCAAAACTTGATTGGAGAGAAGATCCACTGATTCCCAAAGTCTAAGAGCATTTGGTTCACGTTTGGCTGACGGTTCTAGGGTTTGTTACTCTTGGAGCTTGCTCCTAGCCGGCTAGGCGTCGCCCTTGAGCTTTCCAACTCATGTGGCAGCCTTGGGAGGTTTGTAACCTCATTCTCAGAGCTAAGAAATCACCTCTCACTTCAAGAGTTCATCCTCTTGATTTGAGAATGAGGGTAAGGCAAGCCTTTGTGGCAAGCCCAAGCCTTTTGTGGCTTCCTCAACAACGTGGACTTAGGCAAACCTTTGTGGTGAGCTGAACCACAGGATAAATCTTGTGTCTCGCGTGCCTCATCTTGTTTACTTGCTAGTTTAGCTCATTACTAGCTAGTGTCCGGGTTTGGTTGCTCGATCCACTCTTGTGTGGAGTTTCTATGATATTCAGTCTTCGAACTGGATCTTATCTTTATATTGAAGGATTAAGCAGCTAAAGGGGTCAAGTTCATCTTTGTAAAATCTCAGTTGTGTTAGACTTATTTTCGAAGAGCGGTAGTGCCACCCTATCAGGCTGGCAGTGCCGCGCTGTGTTCTGACAGAGTTTTGAGTTGAATTTTTATAGGCCTATTCACCCCCCTCTAGGCCTCCTTTATCTTCCTGGAGATCCTACAAGTGGTATCGGAGCGAGGTTGCTTCGTATACGCTTCACCGCGTGAAGTATGGAAGAAGAAGGAGGTTCGAGGACCATTCGCGATGCGGACGCAAGTGGTGTGCACGTCGAGGATGTCGGCAGCAGCAGCGAGCTGTCCATGTCGATAGCAAGTGATGCAACTATCAAAGAACACTACACCACAACACTAATATAGCGTCACATGTGTTGTTATAAATATACTAATACCGTTGCACCATCGGTCGGTATAGATAGCCCACGGATCAAGTGTCGGTAAATGTACATGTTGCGATAAACCATCGGTCGGTATAGATATTTACCTATACAGTCAAACAATTGGTCGGTTAAGATCAGTATAGAGGACACACCTTCGGTCGGTATAGAGCCATGCCTTTGGCGCGCGGTGTGGAAATAAAAGAAGACAGGTTCGCGGGAGACTGAAAATGAAACAGGGCCCATTCGCGGCAAAACTGTTGGGCCCAAATACGATCTCTCCAAACCCTAACTCTTGGTCGCTTCAGTCTTCAGGTGCATCTTCAGATTTCATCTGCCGCCGCTTCCACCGCAAGTCTCGCACTCACCAAATCCTTGCTCGCCCGCCCAAATCCGCAGCTGACGCCGCCGCCCAACTTCGCTGCCGCATCTCAGCTCAGCCGCCCACCAAATCCCTGCACGCCCACCCAATTCCACAGCCGCCGCCACCGCCCAACTCCTCCGCCGCCCAACTCTGCCACCGCCGCCGCCGTGTGATTCGCGTCGCGTGCCAACCCTGCACGGCCGCCCAAATCCGCGCCCTTGCCATTAAACAAACGCCGCCGCCGCTCACCTCACCGAACCCTAAACCCGCCGCTCCGGGAGAGACCCTAGGCGTCGCCGGAGGCCCCCGCGGCCGGGGCACGCGGCGGAGGAACCCGGAAAGCGACTCCCCCTCCCCTCACCGGGGGAGGGAGAAACTAGCAGAGGAGTCGAATCAGGTCAGAGCGGGGCAAGATGAGGATCATGATCAAGGGAGGCGTGTGGAAGAACACGGAGGATGAGATCCTCAAGGCGGCCGTGATGAAGTACGGCAAGAACCAGTGGGCGCGCATCTCGTCGCTGCTCGTCCGCAAGTCCGCCAAGCAGTGCAAGGCCCGCTGGTACGAGTGGCTCGACCCCTCCATCAAGAAGGTAACCGATTACTTGCCTGTCTCACGGATCTGTCTCTCCTCTCTCGGTAGACTAGCCTCTTCGCCCGGTCGCCGTTCTATTACTGATTTTTGCCGGTGTTTGGAGTGTCATTCTGCTAAGGATCTAGTGGTACAATTTCCGCTGTGAGATGTGAACTGCTCATTTGTGTGAAGTGAGATGCCAATCTAACGATTTGTGCTATCTGAAACCTTATCTTCTCTACTATATGCACTTATGCAGTGTTCTAAAAATCATTAGCTGGGATTTGTTGGGATTGGCTGGGTTACCCTTCTGACAGCAATTATGTGCGGTAATTAGGTAGCACACTTTCCTTTAAAATGGGTCTAGCAGCCACATTTAGAACACTGTCTTTATGTTTTTCTGAACCTGCTGCATTGGCAAGGCCGCAATTCACAATGAGAGGGCAACTGTCACTGGATGGTTCCTGGTTCACCCAAATCAGTAGAGATGCGATTATTAAGTATACTGGAGTGGTGTTGTGATGACACAGTTTTGTTGTTTTAAATTAAACTTTTCAGCAGCCCAGCATGTTGTCTGCCGAGAAAGTAGAAAGCACTGAAGTGAATAAGTGATTTCCTTTCCTCTGAAATCTTGCATGCTTAATACTTGACTTAGTTCTTCGCAATTTAGTGTCATGATGATCCAAAGTAGCCAGTGGACTCTTCCTTTTATCTTGCTTTTCCCATATGGCTGACCAGGTCCCTCCCAGCCATTGTAACAATGATTCCTGCATGCTAAAAGAAAAAAAAGATGATTTTTGTATACATTTATGCAATGGAACAACAACATGATTTATGTTCTATGAACCTTGATTAGTATGCTGGTTATGGATTGTGACAATCTCTATGATTGGATGACTTAAGTGTTATCCTTTCGCAAGCATCTGAACTGGCGAACTTTAGAATAAGATAAAAGAACATCTGCTTTCATCTTGAACATCTTGAGCTTCAAGTTGGCGGTAATACAAAACATTGGCACCCTTACTTTAGTAGGTTATTGATTCTAATGCCTTTTGGAGCCAGATAGCAAATTGTGATCTTTTGGTTTTGTCTTGGTAAGCATCCATGTTTACATGCTGTGGATTCAGCGTCAGCTTATAACATCTATTATTTCTACCAGCTAGACAACATACATTTCAACATAGATATTAACTAAATGAAAAGTTTTAGTCAATTAGTCTAGTGGCCACTATATGTAACTGGACTAAGCACCTGAATCGTTTTTTTTTCTTGCCAAAAGAGAAATTTTGCACTGTTTTATGTAAAATTTGATATTTTGGTTGTCAGAAATGTCTATAGCAGATGTAAACTACTAAAAGAAGGTTTGGTCCACTGGGTAGATACTTTATTTTATCTGAAATTATGCTGAAGGACAGCTTCTTTGAATTGGATTTGGTTATTCAAAGTGGTCCACTGTGTTGCGATCAGTGGCATACCACTTCTACAGTTAGGTTCTCAGTGACCAAATAGCTTTATCCGCAGCAGTGGTTCCATGCTGACTAAATGTATCTATCAAAAGAATGTATCTGTTATGCATACAACACTATCAAAAGAATTTGGTACTGCTAGTTCTTATTCATTGCCATCTAAATGTATCTGTTGGGCTGTTTTTTTTTCTGAACTTTACATTCATCAAACTGCTATTTGTGATGCTTCAGTAACCATAAACGTTACCTGTGTCCCAGCCCTATCTCGAAGGCTGACTCCCCCTTGCTGAGTTGTACAGCCATGTAGCTCTCTCGTTCTCTCTTTCTCTCTGTACAGTTCACTTTATTTAAATTTATATACTAACAGTGGGGGTTTCCCCTGCTGTATTTATGGATAAAAAAACCTGTGTCCCAGCCCAGTTAGCCTAACTTAACCCTTTTTTTTGGTGAATCTGGGAAATGGTTACTGTCTTGTTAAGATCAAACTGAGATGAAATCTAGGTACAAAACCTTCTTTACCTGATCTGATCCACTACGGGTGGGGGTGGGATTTGCTGTTGCAGTTGTTGCTTACTTGGGGATAGGAGTTAGATGATGGATGTTGCCTAATTCATAATAGCAGTAGATAGATTAGAAAATCTGTGCAAATCTGCTGTTCATAACAGAAAATAAATAGTAAGGAAAATATTATCTTGATGATGTACTGAAAGGAAACTATAAATTTAATCTAGAATAGATTTGTGTTCTCAGTTACTGGACTTGTCTTTTTTTATACTGGTTATGGTCACAAACTTACATACTCTTCTGACCTTACTAATATATGCTATGTTGGTCTTACAGTAGGGGAGGAGAGGTGTGCACCAAAAACTCATTGAAGCGGCTAGAACTGGGGTTAGTGTACACATCTTTGAGATGTTAAGTTGCTTGTTCAATTGCATATGTGCATATAAGTATATGTGGTGCATGGGCAGCTTTGTGTTGCATTTCAGATAATACATGAGCTGAAAATAAGGCAGCACGCACTAGTAGGAGTTGAAAATATGTTTTGATTTTTCAGATGGAAGGCGCTAGATGTAACGTGATTATTGTGTCAACAAGCAGATCAAACATTTTGTGAGATGGAGATGAAACATCGATGGATGCTAGTTGCTTTGGATGATATAGCATTTTGCAAAGAACTGCTTGGGGATGGATGCTAGTTGCTTTGAATGATGTAACATTTTATAAAGAACTCCTGGGGCATGTTAGCTGTGAGGCGTGCAAGCCAGACTTGTGTGTTGTGAAGAACATTGTACCCAGCATGACTGTTACATGTACCAATTGGCATGAATGAAATCTAAGCTATGTCATTGTGACTCGATTTTGTGTCTCATGTTGAATGTGACCGTATGTTTCATGTCTAAAAGAATATTGTAATTTGATTAATGTGAGATTAATAATGTATTTTTGTGTCATGTGAGATTTACAATGTATTTATGTGTCATGTGATCTATGCATTGGATTGTTGGTTGGTATAAATCCCATTAGCCTTGAACTGTTGGACGGTAAAACTACTATATGTCATCAGCCTGTTGGTCGGTATTGCTTTAGTATTTCGTCAGACTATCGGTCACTAAAAGTATGTCAGTCGCTATAACCCTATCCCGACGCCACTTTCAGCGGCAGCAGTTAAGTGTCGGCATAGATCTATACCGACCGATGGTGTGTCGCTATATCCACCTATAGCGACCAACGGTATGTCGCCATTCTGGGGCTGTGGTGTAGTGGAAGCCAAGACCACCGATGCCAAAAGAAGAAAGGCAAGAAAAGAAAGAAAAGCCACCAAGATCACAGCAAGAGAAGCTAGAGAAAAGAAGAAGGAAGAGCAGCGGCTCAAGGACAAGAAGAAGAGAAAAGAAGCTAGAAGAATCACAGGAGAAGCAAGAGCCAAGAGAAGGGCAGCAAGAGCTCAAGAGCAAGAGAAGAATGAGTATGATGCATCATCTATTGAGCTCTCTAGTAGCTCGGATGATGGAGATGATGATGTGTCATACCATGCTTCAAAAGATGGCAAGAAGGTGAAGAGCAAGGACAAGAAGAAGGATAGCAATGACAAGGGTAGCAACAACAACAAAAACAAATATACCGCAATCCTTCAATTATTCTTATTTGTCTAACCATAACAAAAGGTCCTTCATCAATGTACCCACGGGCAAGTTGCCTCATTTTGATGGGACAAACTTTGCCAAGTGGAAGCACTTGATGAGTGCCTATCTTGTAGGTCTTCACCCTAGTCTTTGGGAGATTGTGGTGAATGGATTGCAGCCACCGGAAGATCCCGAAGCGCCAACAAATGAGGAGTTAGCTGCTATCCATCTCAATGGCCAAGCCACAAGCATTCTTCTTAGTGCCTTGGATGGAAATGAGTACAACCGAGTGATGAATGTCAATGTTGCAAAACAGATTTGGGACACTTTGCATCTAGCACATGAAGGTGTTGATAAAATGAGGAAAGCAAAGATTGATTTGTTGATGGCTAAGCTCAATAGGTTTGTGATTGTTGATGGAGAGGGGCCACAAGAGATGTTTGATAGATTGATGACCTTGGTGGGCAAGATTAGAGGCTATGGATGTGATGAGCTTGATGATCACAAAGTGGTGAAGGTTATGTTGGAAGCCTACTCACCAAGGAATGAGACCATAGTTACCTTGATTAGAGATAAGAAGAAGTTTGAACACTTCACACCAAATGATGTGCTTGGAAGATTGTTGACATTTGACATGCAAAGAGAAGAAGCCAATGAGAGGAGAAGAGTTGGTGAGTTGCAAGCTAAGCTAGAAGGCATGAAAATCAAGGAAGTAGCTCTCAAGGCCAATAAATCAAGCAATCAAGGCACCTCCAACAAGGCAAAGGGCAGCAAGCAAGCATCAACAAGTCAGCCCAAGGAAATCAAGTCAACTCCACAAAATGATGATCCAAGTTCATCCTCAAGTGAAGATGAAGATGATGGGGCTGATTACATGAAGATTGATGACATGGCTTTGTTCATGAAGAACTATAACAAGGGGCTGAAAAGGAATGGGTATAAAATAGTGCAAAGAAGGTTCCCAAATAAGAAGAAGAGGACTTGCTACAATTGTGGCAGCACCGAGCACTTCATTGCTAAGTGTCCCTATGACAAGAAAGAAAACAAATACAAGAGAGACAACAATGAAGGCAAGCATGAACACAAAAAGGGATACAAGCAAATGGGAGAGGCACACATTGGGCACGAGTGGGACTCAACTAAGGAGTCAAGTGATGAGGATGTGAAGGTTGCAACCATGGCCATTCAAAAGCCATCCTCTACACCAAGGCTCTTCAACAACGTGTCCGATGATGATGACCACCACTCCACTCACATTTGTCTTATGGCAAAGGGTGAGAAGGTAAAACGAAGAGCCAAATCTCCTCCACCTCCTAGTGGCATCTCTAGTAGTGAACTTAGTGATTCTAGTGATGATGATACTAGTGATGTTGAGAAATATGCTAAATTGACTAAAAAGTTGGATCCTAAGACCAAGCTCTTCATCATAAATCTAATGGAGGAATTAGAAAGTGTCAAAGCCGAGCTAGCCGATAGAGATGAAAATCTTGAGGAAACCGAAAAGATGTATATTGGCTGCAAGGAAGCTCTTAAGTTAGAGAGAAGTGAGGTGGACTCTTTGAACAAGGCCTTGGCCGAAGAACAAAGAGAACATGCTCTCACAAAGAAGGCAAATATTGAACTCAATGACAAGTATTGTGTCTTAGTTGAAAAGCATAACAAACTTGAGGAGCAATATAATCTTC